ATGTGTTCTTCCTGTAGAAAGGGACCGAGCGAATTAGTAGGATAGAGTAATGGCGCCGACATATACTGCGGCCTTTTACAGTCTGAATAAATCACAAATGATTAGCTTCATGTATCGGGCAGTGATAGAGAGGTCAGGAGAGTCCTGGCGGCAAAGGATTCACCGTCTATAGGAGACGTGGGAATGAGTGATGGATTCTTATATTACAGAGCCGCATTGCTGGATCCTGAGGCTCCGCCTCTTACCCAGTGGCCGGGACTCCAGGGATAGGGGGCCCCAACAAAAAGTAGGGGGGAGGGGGGTGGCATTACTTGTTTGGCTACAGACAGATGCTGTGCAAACCTGACACTAATAAAACAGCAAATTGTTCATTGAGTTAATTGAGTTGGCATGCGTTATTTTTTTGTTCCTTCGAGCCCTGAAACAGGGGGAGGAGCTTAGCCAGCGAAACGTGTCAGGTTTTCTTAACTTGTCTTTGGGACGCCGATCACCCGCTGTGTCACGTACTCTCCATTACTTGTGTCCGAGGGAAACAATTGAAGAAGAAGTTGGGGCCCGAGATTGATGCAAAGTGTACAATCCTGAAAAAGAAGAAAGGGGATTTATTATAGGAGATGATACATACCCAGGAAACCAAATCACTGAAATCTCATAGAAGATGTAACACGCTCCTCTCATTTCCAAAGTCATTTATAGATCTGCAGCTTTAATGGAACAATCCTGGGTGATCCTGCCACGGAGGTCTGTGTTCAGACACTTCCTGTTATAGGGTGACAACGCTCTGTCCTGTCTCACAATTGTTCTCCTGTGTTGTCACCTTGTCACACAGGACTATGAATGGCCATTTCAGCATACATTACACAGACACGGTTCACTGTTGTCACCATCAGGAGATTCCCCCTGGAGAAATGCCATGCAGTCATCGCTGGAGTGCATGTAGGCAGGAAGTGGCTGCAAAGAGCCTGCATGAGATCTTCTGCACTTAGATGGGGGAAGGACTTAAGACACGGGTGTCTTGTGTGAACCGGATTTCCTTTGTGTACATTGTAAAACAACATTGGGGGTCATCTCAGAGACCCCGCCGCGGTCACCAAACAGAGCAGACAGGTCTGAGGATAGAAGGAAATAGGGTTGCAACAACTAATGGATTATGGGAACAGTTGGCAACTATTCTCATTATCATTAGATGGTTGGGGGAGATTGTGACTGAAACTAATCGATTAATTGGCAAATAATTGATTATGAAAATATTCGTTAGCTGAAGCCCTTGAAGGAAATTTGGAAGAGAGGCGGAGTACTGTAGCATGTAATATTTGATTTCTCTTATCTCATTCACTAACATTATTTCATTGGCAGGTGAATGATCTCCAGAAGCAGCTACAAGAAGAGAAGGACGGTGCGCAAAAGAAAATCTCCCAACTCGGTGAACTCGTACGGTGAGTTTTCTCCATGTGTGCGCGCGGCTCCCTGCTGTGACATAGGCACTGGTTCCTTCTGGCCACAAGGGGGCGCTGCACCATAGTGTTCTACCACCTCTCCCGTATGGCAAGGGGTTCACAGAGTGGGGTTTAGGGGGCCCCATGTGACCTCACCAGACCATTCACTATAACAATATAAAATCAATCAGGTCCCAATGCGTACAGTGACGTAGAAAGAGGTCTGATGACCACTGGAAGGGTTTAGTACAGTACATCATTGTTGTCACCTTTAGTAGGTCCAAGAGCTTGCAGTCTAAAGTCATTTAGTATACAATATAAGGTGGGATTCAGAAGAAGGATAATGTGCGAAGGCTTTATTACTGAGAGTTATTTATTTCTATTTAACAATAAAAAGATTTCTCTGTTTAATAAA